GGACCGGGTACTGTGCCATCCCGGGGATGGGCCTGGTACTCTGCACCGAGTCTGCAGAGTGAGTCTGCAGAGGAGCCAAGACAGGTAGGCACGCAAGAGGCGCTGGGGTTCAACCTTGGCGCTCTGACCCAGGGCATCTGCCTCTTCGCCCCTGCTTTGCCTGGCACAGAGTTGCTCAGGCAGGACTCTTGTCCCGAGCGTCTACCACCTTTTCCCCAAGGGACCAGACACTCCGCCAGCTGGAAAACATGGCTGCCGGGAAACAGAGCTCCCAGGTGAGCTAGCCGGGCCCTGAGCCCTCTGCACGTGTAACCCCGAAGGAGCTGGGAACTGCACAGAGGGAGGCAACAGGCCCGTGGGTCCTCCGATGGCTGGGCGTGCCAGCGAAGGCTTCTCTCCCCGTGTCCAGCCACCCCTCCCAGGCTCCGTTTGCCACTCCACTAACTACCTGTGTCAGCGAGGGAGCACAGATTGACGGGACCAGGAGGACTCCGGGGAATCCGCACGGCCACGGGGAAGCCACAGGCCTGCCGTGCACTCCTGCCACTGAGCCGGCCCCCAGCGTGAGCTCGGTGAAGGTGGACGCAGGTGCCTCGGAGGCCCACTCCCCGCCCCCACTCGGAGGAGAGCCCGAGCCATGGGAAGGGCCCCCCGCTCACCGGTACAGGCTGAGGTCCGTGAACCAGTCCTGCACGACAATCACCACGTGGCATACGGTGAAGAGGAAGGCGGCTATCTGCAGGGACTGTGGGGCAGCGAGGGACACGTGAGACCTCGGGCACCAGCTGCGCGCAGAGGCTGCCGAGCTGCGTCTGAGACCCTGTGTGCCGTTTCCTCCCAGGGTGCCGGAGGGAGGTGAGGGCTGATCTTCAGCTGCCCCGGCCCAGACTCCCTGAGCCCTCCCGGGACCCAACCCAAGCCCCTGACCCAGCCCAAGCCTCCCAGCACCCCCCCACGCCCCCAGCCCTCACCTGCATCTCCACATAAGTGTGAGGGAGGTTGTACTCGGGGGGCAGTTTACGGTCGTTATTGATGAGGTGGTCCAGGATGGATGGGCTGAGGATGGGCTGCAGGAGATGAAGAGGGAGGGTCAGGGCAGAGCCGCCATGAGGCAAGTCCCTGAGGGCAAAGCACAGCCAGCAGCATGGCGCCATGACTGACTAGTGCCCAGCGAGGGGCTAACCCTGAACTCCAAAGCGGACCCATCTTCCCGGGCTTTGCTGCTCTCAGGTGCCGGCTACCCAGAGGCAGCTCCTGGTGCTGATCACTCTCGCATGGCTTGAATGAGCCCCGTGCCCTTGAAGACTGCTCATTATCCATCGGTGTGTAGCAGGCCAGTCTCCCTGAAATCGCCGGCTGCCATCCTAGCCAGCCCCACAGTGCGCTCTGTTCTGAAGTGCACTCGGCCCGCTCACCTTGCTTCTCTCCCGGGCCGCTGGCCCGCCCAAAGCCTGGCCTGCCTGTGCTCAGGTCCCTCCCAGGGCTCCGCATCCTGGCTCATACCCAGGGTCCTCAGATGCAGGCTTGCACTCTGTGCCAATGCCTGGAAAGCAGAGCTCCACTTCCCCAGTGCTGGGTCAGGCCCAGAACCCAGGCAGTGCCTGGTGGGTGAGACCAGGCGCAAGCTTCAGCGGTTCACACCACAGTGCAGCCGACGGGGCAGCAGTGGACCAGAGACCGGAAATGTCCAAAACCATGTGCCAGGGGGTCTTCGGAAGGGAGGCACCGGCCAGGCAAACAGGCAGCAGTGTGGAGTGCACAGGGCCCGGCCACTAACAGCCAAGGGCACCCAGCTCAGCCCTCGTGTTCACACTACTGCTAAGACTTTACTGTGGGCACCTTTGGGGACCCCTGGTGGACAGCGTGACCCCCCCTTTTTTGAAACTCAGGAGCAGAGACAGAAAAGGACCAAGGCCGCACAGTTCAAAGATGGTTTCAAGTCGAGAGACCAGGCCGAGAGCCCCCGGAAACAGCCTTCCGGGAGCGGGGGAGGGTGGTGGCTGGGCCTCGGCATTCGTGCCTGAGGCCAGGCTGAGGCACCCGGAGGAGCCGAGGAGCCGAGGAACGCTGCCGCATGCCATGACACATCCATCCCAAGGACAGAACCTCATCCCAGGAATTCCAGGGGATCCTCAGAGCCCCCAGCAGGCTGGGGAGAGCTGCCCCCCACGACAGGAAAGAGCAGGCTTGGGGCAGGGTTCAGCTTCAGGCTGAAGCTCAGGATCTGGGCCCCACTGAGCCCAGGCCACCCCTGAAGCACACTGCTCAGAGCCTTCAGGCCACGTGCAGAGGTGACGGGAGGGAGGCCACGCTCTGACGTGAGGGGGCACCTGTGTGTCCAGGAAGACAATCCGCTCCTGGGTGATGAAGAAGTCGATGCCACTGGTCTGGTTGCCCCCTCGCTCCTTCATCTCAGCGCTCTGGGCCCGGAACACATAGGCCCTGTGCAGGGAACACGTGGGCACGTGAGCTGTCGGCCTCTAAGGCTCAGGCCCAGCCCACCACGCCTGCCATCTCCCTCCTGTGGCCTCGGCTGGGATGACGACGTGGTTTTCCCACAGCTTCAGTCCTGCCCACAGGGACACGCAGCCACCAGGGGAGGCGGCAGACTCAAGTGTTCCCGGGCCACACCTTGAGGCCGCTAGGCTCAAGCCTGTCTCCCTGGCCTCAAACCCTCTTGCCTCAGTTTCCCATCTGTGCAATGGAGATGGTGAAGGCAGAGAGTCACGATGGCTGTCCTTAACCCCAGCACTGGGAAGGCAAGAGCAGGGGATCCACGAGTCCAGCCTAGTCTACACAGTGAGTTCCAGGGCAGCCAGGGCGACACGTAAAGACTGTCTTTACGTGTCTCATTTTTTTAAAACGGTAACAATGATACAACCCAACCAAGTATGTCCAGCTTTTGATAGTGACACCAGTACTGCTATCTGCAAAGTTCACACTCAAACTGTCTAACTAGGTAGAGAGTAGCTCAGTCATGAAGAGTGTGTACGGCTCTTCTGGAGGCCCCGGTTTGAGTCCCAGCAACCCACATGCTCACAGCCAAAGCACAGCTCCGAGGGACCCCCTTACCTTCCTCTGGCCTCCTAGGCACCCACACGTTTAAATAAAAGTAAGGTTTCAAAACAAATAATGTATTTCAGTTGCCAAAAGAACCTGAAAAGTGTTCTAGGCTGTCTTGTGTTGGGCTGTTGTGCTGGGTTACAGGTGACCCGTGGGCTGCTCTTGTACCCCAAAGCCCAAGGCTGCTACGAGGCTGACCTACGGGAAGCCCTCAGACCCTGCCAACTGCTGGCTGAGTCCTCAGGCACCCCTCTCCGTGCCAGACACCAGGACGCAGCACCCAGGACAGCAGCCCCTACTTGGGAGAGGGGTCTTTGGCACACCCTGAAGACGCCTGTACGGAGCAGGCGTCCTCCCCTCTGCAAACACTGCGGACCACCGCCACTGCTCACAGGCCAGGCCAGGGCAGCAGGAGACAAGGCCGCTGCCTCCCAGCAGTGCTCCAAAGGGAGCTCCGGGGCCCTGGGGACGTGGAGGAGTGAGGGCGGGTGCCTGATGTACCCTGCAGCAGAGGGGCGAGGAGTATGGCTTGGGTGTGGACCACGTACAGGACCACAGGGAAAAGGTGGAGGTAGCTCGAGGGCTCACCCTGCTGGGCCTCCCCCTCCTCTCCCCCCTTTTCTCTGCAGAGCTTGGTCCCTCACTCGGAAAGCTGGCCAGGCAAGAGCTTTGTCACTTGCTCCCCCCGTTTGCCCTGAACTCATGCTGTCTTTGACCTTACCATGGAGCCGAGCATGGCCCTGAACCGAGGGTAATCCTGGACTCACTGTGCAGCCGAGGGTGGCTCTGAACTCACTGAGGGGGACCCTAAACTCACAGATGGTGGCCAAAAGTCCACCACATGCCACGGTCAACACAGCTATGAAAGGCAAACTGAGTCTTCATGGTTTTCTCAGTTCAGCAGTTTGGTGAAGAGTACCAGGCACTATGCCTGCTGGAGAGGCCACCCAAAGCTACAGCAGCACAGCACACAGCACAGCACAGCACAGGACAGCTCACAGCTCAGCTCAGCTCAGCTCAGCTCAGCTCAGCACACAGCTCACAGCACAGCACAGGACAGCTCACAGCTCAGCTCAGCTCAGCTCAGCAC